AGTCATCGGCCAAGCAAAGAAAGGGATGAGAGAAAAGATCTGTGATGCAACCAGGTGCATCACCCAACACACCAAAAATGAAGTACATAAGGATGTCCAAGTAAGGCTCAAGCGTTTCGAGGGGCAGAGTGGTCTCGATGGCTTCTGGTAAGGGTTGAGTGAGCCCGATTAGGGACATCAAAAGTCAGGGTTCCTAAAGGAGTTCCAACGAGCGGTTTTGGGGTCGTATTAGTGAGATATGTTAGCATGTCAAGTTTCAAGTACTCAAACGGAGTTCTGACATGTCATGTACGTTAGCAAGTGACTCATTGCCAAAATGACGTTCACTAGAACTATTTTGCCATAGGGGAGGTAGGGTGTTGGCTCTCCACCATCCCAATCTAGACTAGGCCTAAGTGAGCTACCCCTGGCACATATGTGTGTCATAGCGAGCATCGTAGACGAGTGTCTTGGTTGTCTTTTTCGAAGACGAAAATCTCAAGGGCAATATGGAATGGTATGGTAAGAAAATGTTAACTGTTGATGTATGTTCATGTTGGCATCAATAATCTAGTTAACCATCTCATTTATCAACCTAACAATTATATGCTCATAATCAGATGTGACCTCTAGTCCCTAGAGGAGATACTTATGGTAGTACATCTCGAGACTAATTGAACTTAAACTTAAATGAGTAGTAATATTAATCTTTCTGGTCTAAATTGAGTTGATTTTTTTAAAATTAAATTAATAAGTCACCAAGATTGAGCTAATAAAACATCTAAAGTGATCTAGGCGTAAAAAAAAAAAAAAATATATATATATATATATATATAACTCAATTATATACATGATAGCATAAACCTCGACACAAAAGTCCAAGTTGAATGGCACCAAAACTTCTAAACTCAATCAACACAAAAACTCAAATACAGCGTCTTTTTTTTTTTTTTGAAATCGAGTGTAGTTTATTCTAGTGAATCTCTCTGATCGAAGCTTGTTATTTAGGTTGAACAACACTACGACCAATGCAAAACTCGAACTTAGAAAATGGTACCTCAGGGTCCTAAGTTCTTGCCGCTACACCATCCCTTAAAGGATCATCGTCTAAATGTTAGAAGTCTACACTCAGTATCTACTTCACAACAAAGGAAAATCACCCTTTTACATGTTCAATTATGAACGCTTGAAAACAACAATGGGACGATTTGCAAAATGATTTTAGTATCAACTTTAGATGTGTTATGGAAAATGTGCGAGGAGTAGTAGAGTTTTTAGTATGAGAATATATTTTAAAATCGATCCCTCAAATGATCGTGCAAGAAAAATATTTAAAAAGACTCTGGCTACAAGTTAGAGAGTAAGAAAATAAATAAAATATCATGTATATCATGGAGGCAGAGGATTTTGTGCGCTAATTAAGATCAGGTTAAAACGCTCAAACGAGTATCAAAGAGTCACAGTTTGAAGGAGGCATGTTAAGGATCCCTAATTGAAAAGGTAACAAAACTGACAAAAATTTATAATAGATATGAGCTACTTCTTTCATCGTCAATTGATTTTGATATGAAACTAATTGAATATTGATAATCTCCAAGAATCAGTATCTAAAATGTATGCTCAATATGTCTACATTAGTAGGTGTATAACAAAATTGATGTCTCGAAGTATCTTGCAAAAAATAAACTCACAACTTCCTAATTATGAAAAGTGAAAAATGTGACGTATTATGAAAGTCTATATATAATTAAGTGGCTCCCTCGACGTTATATGATACCTTCTTACCATCTTGAGGAGAATTTCCTAGCGATAAGATCATGGAAAGTTCTTCATTAGACCATCAATGAGACTTAAGAATACAAGAGATGTCTTCGAGGATAAACGATAATTTGTCCAGTTACATTATTTGTGACAGGTAGGAAGATAAATGTGGAAAGGGAGAGAAGGAAAATTTTGGCCCATTTTTTTGTTTTGAAAAATAATAAATAAAAGGAAAAAAAAACACCTATTTGGTGCACTTCTTGTCAAAGACAAATTTTGAGACAAAATAGCTCATTTTCCAAACTACAAAATGAAGCTTTTTTATTTCAAAAATATTATATTAATATTTCTTCTAATTTTTTGGGCGGGGACTCGAAATAAATTTCTCACCCTATCACATTTCTTGACTTTTTATTATTATTATTATTATTATATTATAGGTAATGATTATATATTTGTCAGGAAGCTTAATAATAATATAGTATAAAAGAAAATATTCTTGATTTTGAGATGCAAAATTTATAGTATTAAAATTTGATAACTAACTTATTATTATTTCTTTAATATAGGATACTGCTAACCCGTTTATTTATTTTACATAATTGGATTTTAAGTATAATTTGATTATTTTTAGATTTTTAAAAAATTCTTTCAAATAAAGTTAATTTTAATAATAGTTTATAAGCAATTTACGCACTATTGTTAACTAGAAAGAATTTCAAAATTAAAACCAGTATAAATTCGTTAATAAAATATCTTAGTGGTGAAATTTTAAAGTGAAATTGAAAGATTCTCCATCCAAAAATGAAGGAAAAGAAAAGAAAAGTAAAGAAAATGAGAGAATTTACAAATTGAAATAGAGTATTTATAGATGCGAGGCTGTTTTTCGGGGGAGTTTTAAAAGAATCCCAAGAAACATTAAATTGTAATTTCAAATTTATCAAGGAAAAATAAGTTAGAATTAAATTAATTAAAGACACATTAGGGATTATTTAAATATTAGATATTATATAATTAATTAAAACTTGTATCCTACTAGGGCAAAGAATCTCGAAAAAGCCTATAAATAGAAGTATTAGGTAAATTCTAACAGTTCATTCAAGAACCCTTCTCTCGAGAATAGATCAAAGAAAAGATAACTCTCTATTTTGCAATCTATCATTCAAGATCCGAAATCTGTCCTTTGTGATTCAACCTACAAGATCTTTGTATTCAATGACAACCAAGAGGTATATTTTTTTTTCTCGAAACTTTTGTCTTTCTTGTTATTTATTATTTACATAATGGTCGAAATTTTGGAAAATTTTCGGAAAATTGGGATTTATGAACCCTTCGATAGTTTATTTTGGATTTATGACTCCTTTTTTAAAAAAACTAGTTTGTGGTCCCTTTTTTGGATTTGTGACCCTTTGGAGAAAACACTTCCCTTGTTTTCTTTACCCTTTTATAATTTTTAAATGACTGAAAATAAACCATCTCTCCCTCCTCATTGGAAGAAAAAACAAATTTCTTTTCAATCTTTATTCCCTCCAAAAAAAATAGTTAATTAAAAATTTAATATTTAATATGAAAAATTGAAGGTACATAATTACAAAAGGTTTTTTCGAAATTAATTACAGAAAAAGGGTAAAAAGATTTCATAAATTTCGAGCCAATATTACATTAAATGATTAAGATTTAATTGACAACAAATAAGACCAAGAGGGAAGGGATAAGGATAGCACAATTTCGAACTGGGATAAAGATAGAATTTATGGGAGGGGTCATAAATCCCAATTTCCTATGATCCGTGATGGATCATTGAATATATATAAATAGTTAATTTAAAATCGTGTCTCCCAAATCCGAATAATAATAAATAAATAAATAGAAACCAGTGGTAGTAGGTGACGGCTGGGGGTGGGGGCCACGTGGAATTCAGGAATAGGAGTTTACCTGGAAACAGTGTTGAAAACGCTACGTGTCGAGAGGACAGTCACTGTCCGTGGGTGACAGGCATGTGAGCTTAGCATTCGGCCGAGACGCCGAGTTTGAGCGAACCTTCACGATATATATCTTTTATTTTATTTAATTTTTAATCTTGGAAGACGAGCTTGAAAATTGACTCAAGAAACTCTGCTCGGCCAAACTCGCCGCTGAGTCAAACTTCTACCCAACTCGCCCAGCTTTATTTATTATTATTATTTTTTATATTTATTCAAAAAATGACTTTAGAACCACACGTAATTTCAATAACATAAATACTTTAATTTAAGCGTGGAGTTTGCAATTAAGGATATAAAATGCGTTCCAAAAGTTTAAATATTAATGTTGGGTGATAATTATTTTACTTTTTTTTTCTAGGGTTAAAAACTGAATTTATAAATACTATTTTTACTTTCTTTGTTTTGTAGTCTATTTTTTAAAAACGCTTTTAATATTTGAGTTAAATTTTGAAAATTAAAAAAATAGTAGTTTTTAATTTTTCTTTCTAAATTTGAATAAGAATTTAGATGGAGCTAATTTTTAGAATTAGAAAATTAATTAAAAACAAAATTATTATCTTAGGGACTTAAAATATCAATTTGGAATTTAAAATCTAAAAAGTTACCATTTGAAAATAGTAAGTGAGCCTATTAATGTTCCATGTTCTTGAGCTTATGGTTCTCTTCTAATAGAATCCCTACATTACCATTTCTTTCAAATGGATATTCAAAATCCTAAAATCTAATTTAAAAAATAGAAAATAGAACCCTAGCTTTTAAAATCAAATTTATGAAAAAATCTATAATTTAATTCATTTAGAGAAAAAAATCCCAAAGTTTTAAGCTCTGTTTGGTAAACTTTTTTTTTTCTTATTTTCAAAAATTAAACTATCCTTTATGTTGCTACTTACATTTTAACTTTATTTTTAAAATCCAAGTTAAATTTTGAAAATTAAAAATAGAGTTTTCAAAAAATTACTTTTATTTTTTTAAATTTAACTTAGAATTAACACAACCTTAAAAACATATCAAAGAAATTATGAGCAAAATAAAACAGTTCCAACTCTTTTATTTTTTATTTTTAAAAATTAATTCTATAATAATTACTTTCCACCTTTTACTTAATTGTTTTATTTTGTTAAACAATTTTTCTAAACATTTTAAAATCAAGTAGTTTTTTAATTTTTTATTATTATTTTTAATTTAACAAAAAAGTTATATATGCTTTAAAAACAAGAAAAAATTACGAAAAACGAAATGATTATCAAGTGGGACAAGAAAATTCGCAGTTTCTTGGATTTTGGTGGGAGTGGGAAGAAAGTAAGAAAACATTTTTCTCATTGTTGAAGTTGAAGAATGAAGGGAGGGACCAGTTTTGGGTACCCCTAAATTCTGTGCCTTTTCTGCAGCACCCAGTTTTTCCCAATCCAGTTTCTAGAGAGAGAGAGACAAACAAACAAACAATCGTTGATTCTTCTTTCTCTACTTTCTTTTTTTTCTTTTCTATTTTCTCTTCAATTCTCTTCTCTTTCATTCCCCATATACCCGATATTTTTCTCCCAGAAATTCCCGGAGCTTTTCCGGGAAAATTTTTCAAAAAGGAATTCAACTTCGAGATTTTTGAAAGAACCCCACAACGAAAAAACTCGGGTTTTATCATTCAATCGCTTGTAATTATCCTTCCCCTGTTCGTTCTTGATCCGATCCTCAATTTTTGTTATTGGGCTTTATCGACAATCCAAGCACAAGGACTCACTACAACACCCCACCACATTAACAAACTCATTCCGGGTCCAAACCGGATGGATTGATTACAAGTGTTGTTAACGATTTTGGTTGCTAACGAATTTTTCTGGGAATCGGATTCTCGTTGTGCTGAATTTGAGCTACGGGGGTGGGGGGTTTTTTAGCTTCATTTGGGGATTTGCATCGAAATCGTCCACCTCGAATCAACTGGGTG